CCCTTGTTTACAAACAAGAAAATAAATAAATAAGGACGGTTCTCTCATTAGTCGCATTAAAACGTGTTTGACGTATTTTTCTTTTGTTCAAGTGTAATATCAGGTTTTATCAGGCGGTAGGTATTTCGAGTCGATTTTTCGTTTTTTCGTACGGGTAGGGCTCGCGAACGCTGCTTCTAATTAGATGGCTATCTGTGGAAACAGAAATCCTCCAAGTTGGAGCAGGTAAATTGTATGTAAATTTGAATGGGATAATTTCTTTACAGGTACATCATTCACGAACCAGTAGGTACCATTAGCCAAGTTTAATGATAGAGCTATAAAACGGGCGAAGAAGCGTACCTTCTGTTTTCGTGAAATACTCGCTATCAACATTACCATAACGTTCAGTTATACAGAACGACTGTTAATGAGCTTAGTATGCGCGAATAAATACCAAGCTACATACTAAAACAAGCGACGGTTATGTGGTCACGAATTCAACTGTTTAGGGAATATGTTTTACGCGTGTATCTTACGTCCATTATGTACCTAGTGGCAACTGCATGCAGAACATTATCTAAACGCTGTATGTAGTAGAAGTACCAATGTGTTGTTTCTTTAAAGTAAATTGGAAAGAAGTGAAAGTGGCTATTGCCTAAACTGACAGTAATTCTGCTTTAGATCGTAACTTAACATTTGGTAGGGCACTGGCTCGATTCCGGGTCCTCCTGTTTTACTATGGAAAATTTATTAAAATACTGGAGTAGTAATATTCCACAGGTAATCATTCGTTTCTCTTCAGTATTCATTCCGTCCGTCTCATATTCGAAGTCATTTCCACTGGTCTGTGGTCTCAATATGTTGTTCTTTCAGGCTTCTTTTCAATCATAGGTCACGAGATCCTACCTTCAGCGATCAATCTTCATCAATCGTCAATTATAAAATGTTCTTTAAAGATTATAATTGTTCAAAAGAATCAACACCAAATTTGATTTGAATGACTAAATTGAGGAATATCGTCATAGTTGCAAGTATTAATCATAACTAATTTTGCAAGATTGTTGGTACTTAATGTTAATTAGTTTTCCTTATAATATCTAATTATGCCAATATAAAGCCATCTACTAAAATCCGCTGTTAACTAAAGCATTTCGTATGTTAGACAACTGAACGGTACGAGTAACATACGAAATTAACTTTCTTTAAATATTCTTTTACCTCTCCACATGGATATGTTTGTTAAAATAGTGTCTTTTAATATAGAATAAAAAGTCTTAAAAAAGATATAACTGAGACCATCAATAGCAGCAATGCATAGAATGTCATACAAAGTCACAACTAAAACTAAATGTACAAGAGGAGTACCTTCGAGGTGTTGGAATTTATCTAAAATTTGGCATTATATTCCTTTAAACAACCGATTTTAATATTTTTCAACATCATTATCAGGTCTTCAGCGCGAAGACAAGTTGTTGGACACGCACCTCCACTTCTTCTTATTTTGAAAACTGAAGTAAACCTACATCTTTAACAATTTGCGAACAGTAATCTAGTCTGTAGGTCTACCCACTTGACAGAGGTTTCTGCTTTTAATATGTCTCTAGCTAGCTCTTCATGTTTGCGAAGTGTCCTACCAACCTATCTCGCCTATTTCTTATCGATTTTTATAAAGCCCTCCTGCCTCTGATTTCTCGCCATCTCATCATCATCATCATAAGGTCGTCAATCCTAAGACAGATTGGACAAGCACCTCCACTCTTTCCTATCCTGAGCTAATCTTCGCATTTCCCTAAAACTAAAACAACCCACATCCTTAACTAATTGCCAACAGTAATTTAATCTAGGTATACCTATAACCCTCCTAATTGCCTCCACCATCTCATAATAAAAAATTATTTAACGTTCCTACCAAACCATCAAACTCATCCAGGTAGCGTCGAAAGTAAAACTTCACGTTTTTGAGTTGCTTATAGTAAATCCTTTACAACCGACCTAAATTTCTAGAACGATGTTGGTATGTCAGTGCTACTTATTAAGAAGTACAGAAGAAACGTATAAAAACGTGCAAAAGTCTTCAGTAGGAACTGTATTTCTCTCTATTAGGTCATTATACCGCCTACTACTACTTGTACGTATAATGGATCTAATTTATGTATCTAAAGAACCAGCTGAAGAAAATTTATCAAGAGACATGCATAACCTATTAGGCAAGAGCATGTTGTTGGTGGATTAGTGTTGTCAAGAGAGATGTAGTGTCCGGAACGTTTCTCATTCCCGATCGATTATATGAAAACACTCGAAGGTTATGTTTTCGTCTAACTCGTGATCTCACGTACTTCGTAGGTGACATTCTAATCTAGTTCACGAGTGACATAAATCCATAAAAATTCCTGTCCGTAAAACGCCAAACTTTCAAAGATTACGTTCAATCTCTCCTCCTCAGTACATATCTACAATGTCGTATTTGTGGTACAGAGTCACTAATACCATGATATCCTAAACAGCTAGCTCGGAAATATAATGTCATGATATCTCTTTCTTTTAATATAATGCTTTCAAAATTACAATAATTGATACTGTAAAGTCTGATTTCAATAGACTGAAACTAAACCAACTCCTATAAGAATTCTTTTTCAACTTATTACCGAATTGAAATGAAATGTTTAATCTTTCTTTGAGTTGGTCTTTCGCAAAAGAAAACTAATGTTATAATAATTTACTAATTATTGAAAACTATTATCACGAATAATTTTAAACTGAAATCGCAATTGGGATCCGTCAAATGGGCGTACACCATCTGGTGGCAAAATTTATAACTCGAATGAGGGAAAAATTTACATAGGAACTGTGCACGCAAATTGTAAAATTGTTTATTAAAATAATAAAACACGTTAAAAAAGTAAAAAATTTTTTAATGATGGAGTCGTTTAATGCACATGATTATATTTCATCAAGTATTTACCATCAGCCATAACCTTAATATTTAAAACTAGAATCATACTAAAATTATAAAGTGAGAAATTATTTATTCCTGTGTAATTAATTTAACACAATTCTAATGATACGATATAAGTATTTTGAGATTAAGAACCTACCTGCTGCAATACAACAAAGTTGCAATAATGTGTTTGCAACGTTCTCTTAAATCGGCTTTGCACGTGCAAGTCATTGATATGATATTGCTTAAATCACCCAAAATCACCTCACCAATTATGTAACGTGAATCACTTTTTAAATCCGAAGTTTATAAAAAGTAGGCAGTAAACTTGACGGAATTTGAAGGCTAGCTTCAGGATTTGTTATTTCCGAATTTTATAATGGGATTGCCATTAAAAACACGCTCACCTTCAACGAAATTTCCTTTCCGAGGTTTTGTGTCAGCCCAATCACATATTGTGTCAATACTTATCATTTTATCGTAATTTAAAAACTTGGAAATTGCACGGTACACTATAGGAACTACGATAAATTTTCCCTAATCGGTGCCATGTTTTTAGGCTCCTCCCATTTGACGGATTCCAATAGGTTTGTATAATTTTACTCAATAAAAGAGATTTACAATTATAGTAATCGCAAAACGATAAACACTTGGAGCTTTCGCCATAATAATATGTGTTACATTTGGAGTAAATTTTGTGAATGTTCGATCATAAGACGAGCTTAATGAGGTCTGGGGAGTTGAGATCGTCTCTCATCGACCGTAAACGAAAACTCGGTATTATGTTGGTCAGCGATCGGCCGACTTTGATTTATACTAATTGGAAATGGTTCTAGTTAAGTCCGTTGGCCTAAGGCCCGAAACACTACGTAACGTACAACGTCCCTTAATTGCTTAATTCTCTGCTTACTACTGACGATCGTTCCGTCTCTCTCGCACCGCCGTCATCGTTCATCAGTATTGAAAAAAAAGGGAGAAAGAAGCTGCGTGTGCGCTCTACATAAATTCCGAATTCAGTTACAGTAGCGCAGTCTGTAAATTTATTAGATCCTTTTATTATCTGTCAGGACGTGTAATTATTTTTTTACGGTCATTTTTAACCGCCGCGCCAAGGTAACTCGCGCTTTTTAAACGCCGATTTATTGCTGAAGTTCGCGAGACTGCTGCTATTAAAGTGAGAAGTCGTTTAATTGAATGGGATTGAGCTGGTGCTGCTGATGATACTTTTGCTGCCTGCTGCCTGTGGTAAAGTTGCGCTGGTCTGGGAAATGTAGGTACAAACGATCCTTGCACGTGATGTTTCGGTAGCGCAGCTTTTATGACAGATACAAAGATCGTTGCGCTTATCTCCCCAGGAGTTCTACTGACACGGTGTACGTTTTAATGTCGATTATATAGCTACTGAATTGCAATTGACACTACCAACGAATAAACGCGGCATTTGTTTAGTACAAAAGAAACGGACAATATTAGTATCACATTATTCCACGTCATTTTTAACATCTCAGAGGAAAACCAAAGTTGAGTACAAAGGTGTCACATTGTATTCCTGTCTTCGTCTTTTTTTTTAATATTTCATCATTGAAATGAGAAATATCGCTGCACATTTCTAAAAAGTGTGAGAGAAAGAGAGATTACTTTTAATCTTACTTATGGGTTACTTTTTAAACTTTACTAACCTATTTAAATACTTACACTTACACTGTAACTACTTACCTACATTTGTAAATGTGTTTACTTCAAATAATATATACAGATGTAAAGTAATCTCGTAGGTCATCTGTAAAGCGAATTGTTTGCTAATGTTAGGAATTCCTGACTATAGTAGCACTTCAGTAGATTTAAGATGTTGATAAAATTTAGCCTTTAACAGTGTAAATCCTCTTTCTGACGGTTGGTAATGATTATATGATTATTTATTCTTTCATTCGCTTCATTTGTGTTTATTCTGTTTATCAAATTTGTTTCTTTAGGAAGAACTAGTTATTATTGGTTTTCTCAGCAAGAAACTATTCCACATTGCATATAGAAAAACATGACGATTCAGTTGTTTCTGACGATCTCCTTTCCTTCTTTTCAGGTAAATAGGCCATTAACGATGAAAAAAGAAGGAATTCAAACGAGAAATCGAAAACTTTCGTCGAAAAGTAAGAAAAAGAAAGGTGGCGGATCCTGTTTATCGTTAGGAGGAATGATGAGTGATATGATGAAACCTCTTGATAGCGGTAAGGGAGCGTTTGGTGGTGGAGGATTTGGAGGTGGAATGGGCGGAGGTCATCCGCATTTGAACCCTGCTCTCCATCCCCATCATGCCATGAGCCATTGGTACCAACACAGTGGTCACCATCAAGGCTTTGTTTCGGGACCGCCACCTCCAGCACCACCACCCAGCGCTGCTTCATACCATCATCATATGAGCTCTTTAAGTGCGGCCGGTCTTGGATTAGCGTCAAATGGAATGGTAAGTGAATTATTTTAACTCAATAGTTACGAAATGGTAACGGTCACAGGGCAAGTGACGCTGTATAATAAGGGTCACCGGGCACGCGGCTACTAATAAATTTGTGAAAACTTATACTTAATTTGAATAAAGCATATTTCGTGGATGATGTAATTGTTATTGCTTGTTTACTATCTCATTCACAAAAGGCTCAAATGATTGTCTATCGGTACTTCAGACTATCACATTACTTTTTTAGCTCATCCGAGCAGCAGTTTAAACATTAACCATATTAAAAGCACCTGCCTGCTTTTTTGGTATTTAATTAAAATTCGTAGATATTCAAATATACCGCATGCGAAAGAGTGGACCCTGGTACAAGGAATTTCAAAGTGTGCTCTATGGACTACGTGTACGTGTGTGAGCTTGTGAGTGTCATCGCACAGCTTTCAACAGCCAGCTGGCGTGTGCGCGCCGCATCGCCCTTATGCTATTGAAGAGAACGGTGTATCATAATTTCATAATTTAATACCAAGATCCGCATTTTCGCATACAGTATATTTTCGTTGTCATTTCTTCAGTGAACGATATTTTTATTGCATAACTTTAACAAAAAGGTTAAAGTTTAATGAATAAACGTTATTTTTTGCGTCTCAATTGTGAATTGTCAATAATTTTAATTTAAACAACCTGAACAAGTTTAGTTATGCACGTGTGAACAAACAACAAGCATCCGATTGTAATGAAAGTTACTCTAAAAATATTCATATCAGATGTAGGGCAACATATAATAAGCCTACATATTATTCTTTTTTGTTTCAGGCGGGTTGGAGGTCGGAATATACGTGATAAGCAGGTGTCCAACAAGAGTATTTGTAGATAATTTCCTATTTAGTAAAAGTCGTCACACAAACCCTTGCAATAGGTCACCAAATTTGTACATTTGTATGTATGCCCTTTTGTATATATATATATAAGTCTCTCATCGACCGTAAANTATTATATATTATAATTTGTGACCGAATTGTATGTATGTATTGTATATTTAAGTACAAAGCGATCCTTTGTAAAATTGTCCTGTACATATAGGCGCTAACGATGTTAAGGGCTTTTTTTATTCTAAACGAGCCTGTAAATAGTACATTTCTAAAGTATAAGTGCAATCGACATGTAATAAATTATCATTTATTTATGTCTGTTTATCACAGTACTGGTTCCTTTACGGCCGGCCTGTCGTAATATTAAAAAAATGAAAAGCTTGCGTACTATTGTCATTAATATATTTTAGTATTAGTACCTTCAGGCCGGACGGACCAGATTATAGACTGCAAATCCTTTGTAAATATACGTTAGAATGTATTTTTTTCTTATTCATGAAACGATGAAAACGATCCTTAACATTATAACATTAACAGTAGTCAAATAATGTGCAGTACTTTCATCAAATGGTGTGCGATCTACAAACATAAACACATACGTAACTGTTTAGTTTAATAGACGAAATGTAGATGTTACAAAATTATTTCTGAAAGATTTTTAAGTTATCAAGAATCTTACTGAAATAATTCATACTTTAGTATAAAAAGATTAATTAAAAATTTTCTAGTTGTTCTGTTACAAAGGCGTAAAAGTGCCAAAGTTGAAATTTTGACTTGTAACTTGCAAGTCGAAATTTATTGAACCACAACCTAATATAACCTAAAGTAATCCCAACATTAACGTAAAGAAATTTTAAGGAAGGACGAGTTACAAATTGAAATGTGTTAAAAATTTCATAGACAAATATATTTGGCCCTTTTTCTACTATAGTTCTAGTACAAAATTTAACTTAACTTTTGCACTAAATTCACACGAACATCGATATACCAAACAAGCAAAACTCATTTCATAGTGAATGATGCTTATACCTTTCTGTAAAACTTCAAGCTTCCTGACTCAGCGGTTCCGGCTGTGCCTTGATCAATATTGAATCCTCTTTTCACCGTTTTATACGAGTTGAATTTTAAAAAATCTTTTTTTAATGTTCGCCTACATTGTATAAGAAACACCTGTGCAAAATTTGAAGTCTCTAGACCCACGTGTTTCTGTGCGTCGATATACCAGTCAGTATACCTTTGCCTTTTAATTTCTTTACTGAAAAATCCTTATGATACCAAATGGAAAGAAGGCAAACTGGTAGGTCAAATTTTCAAAACTTCAGGTCGACTTAACATGAATATTAATCATTTTTGATAAATATTATGTTTGAAAAATTTGCAAAATCTCTTGGGCTGTTTACGTTGATGTAATAGAAAATTACATTATTCACCATTAATTTTTGCAAAGGAGTTTAGAACCAATTTTTTGGTCGTGTCTTATCCCAAAAACATTCATAATCCTTTTTATATCTTTGATCTTATTTGCTTGAAATTAATCCTCTTCCTCTTTTGAACTAAACATCGACCTTAACTAATAATTATTTATTGTAGCCGTGGACATTTCCTACGGATGTCGATTAACAAAATTACCAGTTTAATTCAAATTGCATATACATATATTACGATTGATGTTCTCTTGTTTATTTTGATCGTCTAATCACGTATTTAGTTCCTGTTATTAATGTTGTACAAGTATTTATTTAAATTACCAAGTAGACGATTGAAATTAACAAGTTACTTCAATTAGTCAATGCATTAGTTTGTATGATCGTACACCGTTTGCTACTTCGTAACGTAACCATTAATTAATCCTAAAACCATCAGGAATTAATTTTTTATGCCATATGTATTCATAAGGTCGTTTTCTTGAAAGGCAATACTCAAGTTGATTATTCTTTTTAATTCATCACAACCTTTATTCAGTACACAATAAGATCGTTTCGTTTTTCAACAGTCGAAAGTCTCAAATAAAAATAGCCTAAGAAAATACATTGGTCGAAATGTAAATAAAATTAATGTATTGTTAATTGTCTGTGTGATAAAACATTTAAATTACACTTTGCGTTTCATTTCTTAATCACAAAGGCGTTTTTAAAAGGCACCTGCAGCTATTAAATAGTCGCCGGTGTCCTCTTAAGATTCATGTGGAACGTCGTTCTACGAAGAAGCTCTTGCTTGCTATTGACCACCAAATTTGCAAGCAAGTATATGTGTGACGAGAATCGTTAAAATCTCCATTGTTATATAAAACGAAAGTCAAAGCCTCGAAAATACTAATATCTACAGAATCGATGGGTTTTCAGGGCCGGCTTAATGGTTAATATTGTCCTTATTAGTTTCTACAGATGTTGAGATTTTGCCGCAAGATGATCTTGAAAGTTAACCGCGTAAATGCTTATACTTTTTCAAGGTGCTTTGAAAAAGTAGTAATTAGTAGATTAAGGGAAACATTTCAGCATTAATTGAAAACTATAATATTAATTTACAGCATACTTCTGCTTAAAAAGAAAAAGTGCCGTCATAGAAATGAGCAATCTTTATGTTCCATAAACATTTTGCCTTACTTGTACGAACTACGATTCTCATAAAAAATCGAAGAGCGTATGTCACTTTTGCTATTAAAATTTTATTAAAATCAGGTCATGATCATCAGTCGTGACAAACTCCTTTATATACATATAGAAACATTAGAAACACATTGAGATAGGCACCTCAAAAAACCATAACACTTCGTCCCATATATTTAAAATTTAATTTTAGAAAAATACTCATTACTGTTACATTTGAAGAAACTAGCATCCTGACCGCACTGCAGGTAAGCTTAAAATTTAATAATTTTATTTAAGCTAATATATAATTAAAAGGTGTTCTGCAGCAAACTGTGTAGGATGTATTTAGTTTCAATTGTTTGGATTACATACAAATTTATTGTTTTTAACTTTAGATTCCGCACATTTGGAGAGTTTATTTATTTATTTAGCTTACCTATTACTTATCAATTCAAAGTTCGTACGTTGGGTACATTATAAGTTAAGTTATACTCGATACTACATTATGAATAGAGTAAGAAATTAAAATTGAAAGAAGTCTATAATTTACAAAACATGACTTCTGTAAAAGTTTCTTTTCAGCATTTGGTGCATTTAAATGCATTTCAAGTAATCTCATATGCCTTTGTAAGTGTGACGTATGACCTATACAAAATTGTCCATCTACATGTTTATAGGCGGTATTGACAAAACAGTATTGTATAAAAATAAATAAAAGTAAAACAAAAATATTGCTATGCAAGGGAATAAAAAGTAGGGAAAGAGCGAATATAAAAATAGGAGACGAAAAATTAGAAGAAGTGGCTGATTTTCAGTATCTAGTAAGTCAGATAAGCCAGGACGGAAGAAATAGTAGGAATATAAAGTAGAGGATAGCGTAGGGTAGAGTTGCCTTCAATGAAAAGAAGTCACTTCTATGTTCGCGAACGGTTAATTTCAGTGGTGTTGTGCTAATTTTTTTTTTACCGGAACGCGTATATATAATTATATAGACAGGGTCGATCCTGGGTAGGCGGCCGCTCTGTGCGGTCTCATGTCCCAAATTTGACGACGACGGGGGAGGGGGATTTCAAGCCGGTTCGTTCCCGTTTTTGTTCCGGTTCGGGTTCGGTTCAAATCCTTGTCTATAATAATACATATAAAAATTCGTCAAAAATTAGAAAAAAAATCAGCAATTCTTTTTAATGTTTTTTTTAATACGTCAGCCAATTCTCGTTATCAAAAATCATCTTTAGTTCCGGAAAGCGTTCCTGTTCAAAAAGGAAGTACCGGAACGACGTTCCGGAGCGTTCCGGCTCGACAACACCACTGGTTAATTTAGAAATTTGAAAAAGATTATTAAAGGTATATGTTCGGAGTGCAGCGCTGTAAGGGTGGTAAACATGAATGATGGATGTGGCGTAAAAGAAAAGACTAGAAACGTTAAAAATATGGTATTACAGACGAATGATGAGGATGCCATAGATAGAGAAGGTTAAAAATTAGGCATGAAAGGCTAGTCAGAGACATATTAGAGACAGAAACAGGAGTTAAGAGTAGTAGAGGTAGACCTGGATTAGATTATTGTTTGCAAATAGTTAAGGATGTGAGACGTTTTAGGCAAATGCGATGATTAGCTCAGGATGATGACCTTATGATAATAATGATGACATGTTTATAGGAAATATCTCAAAACAAGCCAGGCGTGAATAACCATGATTTCTTAATTTTAACTTTTTACCATCATTTTTATTTATTGGCTATTTTCTTATTTCATCCCCTTTAAGTTCTGACATCCGTCAGGCTAAAGACGTGATCCAAGTAATAACTTTGTTATTTACTGTGTCATGATATTGGCAAATCAGTTCTCAATTTTCCGAGGCTTTCCCGAGGTGCAAGGTCCCGTGTTGTCCAGCTGGGTCAATGCGCTGGAAATAACAGGGCTCAAGCTTCAGATAAAGCTGAATGCGCTTTTCTTCATTGTTTGACGCTTCGCTTGTTCCAAATAGTGTGATTTTGTGGGATTTAAGAGCTACTTTCGAAACAAAAGACACAACTAAATCTGTGTTCAGCCGATAATAATAAAAAGGAAACTAACAAAAAGCTCAGCGTTTTTTAAATTGAACTTTCCGAAATGTACACAATAAGATCGTTTCGTTTTTCAACAGTCGAAAGTCTCAAATAAAAATAGCCTAAGAAAATACATTGGTCGAAATGTAAATAAAATTAATGTATTGTTAATTGTCTGTGTGATAAAACATTTAAATTACACTTTGCGTTTCATTTCTTAATCACAAAGGCGTTTTTAAAAGGCACCTGCAGCTATTAAATAGTCGCCGGTGTCCTCTTAAGATTCATGTGGAACGTCGTTCTACGAAGAAGCTCTTGCTTGCTATTGACCACCAAATTTGCAAGCAAGTATATGTGTGACGAGAATCNCTTAAAAAAATTGATCATAAAAACTGACTTTAAATTAGTAATCAGTTTGAACTGTTTTCCTTTGGGATTAATTAACAAGTAAAGGGC